CCCACGCCTGATCGGCATCCTAAAGCAGTCCTTCCCTCCCCAGCTCCCTCCTTCCCTTCCCCCCAACACCAGGTAGCTGGAGTGGCGAATTCAAAATAAGCAGACACAGACTCCCGCCTCCAGGACAAGGGGCCTCCTCCAGCGAGCAGGAGAAAGCACGAGAGAAGATGGTAGCTAAAGGTAGAACAGGCAGGCAATACCCCCCTCGGTGGCAGTGGCCTTCTCCATCTTCAAAGTGGCACAGTCCAATCAAAATCCGAACCCTCTGGCCCGTTCACAGGCGGCAGCCGCCTTGTCCGAATGCGGCAGGGAACGCTGCACCTGCTCCACCCGTCCCTGCAGCTGCAGAACCCGCCCGGCTCAGCTCCCCAGGAGGGCGTCGCCAAGCCTGCAGGGAAAGGGAGGGCGGGTGCGGCCCCTGCTGGGGTGGTGCAAGACAAGGTGAGCCAGGGCAAGGCTCAACACCCCACCAACCTCCTGAGAAGCAAGCCTCACCAGGCAGGTGGTGTGCTACCTGCCAGAATCCCACCAAACCCACGCAGGGGCCAAGGCTTGCAGTCCAGGTTTTCCAAGAGTCCGCGTGTTAAATTATCCCCCGTAACTCACACGAACCATGACCCGCAGCGGCCCAGGTTCCCCCAGACGGTGGACCTCAACAAAGCCGGGACCAGCGCAGCCCGCACACCGGCCAGGCAGCCTTACCTCCCGTGCGGCATCTTCTCCTCCAGGTCTGCTCTTCCACTGCGAGGCGAGACCGGCTGCTGCGCTTTCTGGGCGCGCCTCATCAATGCACCGGGCTAGTCTGCAGCGCCGCGTTTCCTCCGCATCCCCGCACCCGTGGAATCCCCGTCCCCGGCAGCGAATCACGGAGAATCACGGGCGGAGCGAATCACGGAGAGCAAAGGCCTCTGCTTGCTGACAAAGGCTGCGTTCCCGCTCGCCCCTCACAGCCCTGCCGGGAGAATCAAATCCATTTCCCGCACGAGGGTGGGAGGAAATGAGGGCTGGCTGGGCGGTGCGCGCTGACAAAAGGCTGCCACGCCGAGCTCACAGCGCCCCCTCCAGCGGGCACAGCCGGCTGCCCCGGGCCGCGGTGCTGCTGCAGTGCCCCCGCCCGACGCCGCGCACCGCCCGGAGGACTCGGTGACCCCCGACAACCGCGGAACCGGGGGAGTTGTCTCTATGGCCCCCTAGTTGCCCACCCCAGGAGTGACAGGTGCGTGGTGAATATGGAACCTACATACAGTTGCAGTGTGTAGGCTGTGTGACCTTGATGAAGCCACTTAACCTCTCTGGATCTTGAGGTCTTACTGTGCACGAGTGTACCCAGGCCCTTGCCATCCCCACTAGTTTTTGATAGCGTATCTCACGGCCTGGTTCACACAAGGCAAAGCTCTAGGAGGATGGCATGAGGTAACCTTTCTCAGCTCCCCAGCATTCCCTCCACCTGCTGGCCAGGGCGGGGCATTGTGACTCAGCTGGTTAAGGTTAAACCTCCACCCGGGAGGCCTGCATCCCATGTTACAGCGCTGGAAAGAGTCCTGGAGAAGCTGCTTTCTGCTAACAAGCCTCAAATACTGGGGTTCCTGTCACCCACAATGAGTCCCCTGGTTTTAACCTGACCCAGCTCAGATGATGGCACTCCCTAGCATTCTTTTATAAAAGGGACATGCACCTGCCCGTTGAGGTGCAAAATGCCTGCAACTTCCTCCTAATCCAACACCAGTGGAGGCTGTCCTGGAAACTCCTAGATCTTCTCCTTCCAAAGCTTTCATTATATGGGTAGTTCCCATTCTTCTGATGAGTAAGCTGGCCTTCCCCAGTCCTCCATCACCCACTGCCTCCATGGAGCCAGCCAAGGCCCACAAGGCCCAGAGTACAAGCAAATAAAAATTCTCCTTGCAGAGGAAGAGAAGGCAAGGCTGTGTCAAATATCGGGTGTATGTGTGTTCAAGTGAGATTAGCTCCAACTGTGTAGACTGAGGCAAATTCCCCCATGTAAGTGGGAACTGAAAGCCTGAACAGAACACAAGGTGTGATCCTGGCATGAGTAGGAGGCAACTCCTTTCACCTGTCTGAGCTTGGTATTGGATTGGTGGTTTCTGGTGCTCCTGGTTCCAGCCCTTCACAGCCCAGTCTGCACCTATACCCTTTGCTCTCCTCAGTCCCAACCTGCAGACAGCACACCCTATGACTTCATAACTGCATGAGCAGATTCCATATAGTAAATGTGCTTATGACTTCCCGTTGGCCTACTCCTCTGCAGAATGGTCCTGGGTGGGGCCATCCAGCAGAAACTATGTAACAGCGTGGCTTTAGAACTAAATTGTGGAAGAGGACAGAATGCTATACAAAGAACTGCATTCCCCCACAGCTTCATAGATGGAGACCCTAACACCCCCAACGTGACTCCAATCTGAAAGGACTGAAGTCTTTAATAAGGGAGAGAGCTGAGCTAGCCAGCTTGGTGCAGACAGTGAAGGGCAGCAGCCTGCAAGCCTGGAGGAGAGCCCTTCTGAGCTTAGTCTGCTGGCACAGCATTCCTGATCGTGGGCTTCCCAGCCTCCAGATTGAGAAACCAGTTTGTTGTGAACTCATTTTGGCTAGAGCATGGCAGCCTGAACAAATCAACCAATGTGACCTATGAAGCACAGAACCCAGAAAATGTTAAGCTCTGCCTCTTGGTCTTTAAGTTTGAGGTGTCTGTGTGTCTAATATCACAAAGATGTACCTTGGCCTTGACAGGGCTTTTGGAAGCCCTGGAGGAGCCAGCACCATGATATAGTGGGCTAAAGCCTTCACCTGCAGTGCTAGCTCCCCTTATGGGCACCAGTTTGTATGCTGGATGCTCCACCTCCCATCCAGCTCCCTACTTAGTGCCTGGAAAAAATAGTGAAGGATGGCCCAAGTGTTTGGTCTCCTACACCCATGTGGAAGATCTGGAAGAAGCTCCAGGCTCCTGGGGGCTTCAGAACAGCTCAGCTCCAGCCACTGCAGTCATTTGGAGAATGAACTGCAGATGGAAGATCCATTTCTTTGTTTCTCCTTCTCTGTAAACTCTACCTTTCAAGTTAAAATAAAATAAGCAGCAGCCCTTGGAAGACTTTCATTCCCATTGTAGATTGCTGACAACTCTACATTCTTTCAGTTTTGAATCTACCTTCCTAGTACATTCATTTCCCTAGGAAGTGGTGAGGGAAATGTTGAAAAACAAATGAGATGAAGATTATCAGGTGCCCGTCCTGAGAGGATGAGGATAGAAGCCTCAGGAGGGGTTGGGGGCAAAGGCTGAAGGCCTTGAATCAAACCTAAATAGGTTTCTTCAGAGCATGAAATGAAAGAGCAAGTTGTGCTCAATGAACTTGTGATGGGAAGTGTCATTTAAGGGAAACTGATAGGCTTTTATTTATTGTAAAATTTATATTGAAAAAAGAAGAAGATTCCAACACTTTCAAGACTGTCATTTATTTGTCTCTAGAAGGCAACCCTGGACCTTTTTCACTTGTCATACTTGTGGGAGTCTGAAACAAAGAAGAAAGTCCATTATAAATGGCTGAAGGATAAGAATGGACAATCCACACAAATACAACTAATAATAAAGAAATACAAGATGGACCCGGCACAGTAGCCTAATGGTTAAAGCCCTTACATTACATCTGCCAGGATCCCATATGGGCACTGGTTATATTCCAGCTGCCCTGTTTCCCATCCAGTTCCCTGCTTGTGGACTGGGAAAACAGTGGATGGCCTAAAGCCTTGAGACCCTGTACCCTTGTGGCGGACTTGGAAGAGGCTCTGGGCTCTTGGCTTTGGATGGCTCAGCTCCAGCTGTTGCAGCCACTTGGGGAGTAAACCAGTGGATGGAAGGTCTTTCTATCTTTCTTTCTCTCTGTAGATCTTCCTTTCCATTAAAAATATATCTTTTAAAAAAGAATACAAGAGGGCCCAGCGCGGTTGCGCAAGTGGTTAAAGGTCCTTGCCTTGCACGCCCGGGATCCCATATGGGCGCCAGTTCTAATCCCGGCAGCCCCGCTTCCCTTCCAGATCCCTGCCTGTGGCCTGGGAAAGCAGTCGAGGACGGCCCAAAGCTTTGGGAACCTGCACCCGTGTGGGAGACCCGGAAGAGGCTCCTGGCTTCGGACCGGCATAGCATCGGCCCGTTGCGCTCACTTGGGGAGTGAATCATTGGACGGAAGATCTTCCTCTCTGTCTCTCCTCTCTGTATATCCACCTTTCCAATGAAAAAATAATAAAAATAAATCTTTAAAAAAAAAAAGAATACAAGAGTACTTGAAAAATTTATGAATTAAAACATAAGTTTATTTTAGTTGAAAAAATTGTGGAATCCACAGTTTTTATATAATAATACACTTTTCCATGAACTTTTGGAAAGTCCTTCATGTGTGTGGAGTTCAAACTTATGCCAAAATAAACTTATCTTTGTGTCCTATTTTCCATAAACTTTTGAAGTTCTCACATATGCAAAAAAAAAAAAAAAAACTTAATCTTATCCATGGTCAAACACATTCAAGTATAAGAAGTTTTATCTATCTAAAATCTGTCATTTTCATCTAGTCTCATTGCTGACAATGTGATTAAATCAGGGGTGAGCACTGCAAGCCAAAAGGTAAGTGATACCAGCATCCCACTGGAGCACCTGCCCAAGTCCCAGCTGTTCTGCTTTCAGCTTCCTGGTGAAGCACCTGTGGAAGCCACAGAAGATAGGCCAAGTTCCTGAGCTCCTGTCACCCATGTGAGAAACCCAGATGAAGCTCTAGGCGCCAGGCTTCAGCTTGACCCGGCCCTTGCCACTTTGGCCATGTGGGGAATGACCCCACAATAGAAAATATTCACTCTCCATCTCCCTTTCCTCCCATCTGTGTGTATGTGTATGTCTCCCTCTCTCTGGTCTTCTTTTAAATAAAAAAAAAAGTCTTAAAAAAGGCACATGAGAACAGTACTCTTACATTGCTGGTGGCATCAAAAATTGGCACTATGCATCAAGTCACAGAATATACCCACCTGTGATTCAGGAGGTCTACTTCTGGAAATCTGGCCTGAAAAAATAATACAAATACAGAAAAAGCTAAGCAAATGAAGGCTCCTTGCTATGTTTATGAGCATAGAATATGTCCAACAATTAGGAAACTGCCTAATTGAATGGGTCATTTAAATATTAATGATAAAACAATCAAAAACAGGGCACACAATGTCACATGCCCCTAATTTCTTAACTTAGTTGCAGAGGGGAACATTTGGAAGCATTTTGGTATACCCATAATAGTATTTCAGCTAGGATAGTTGGATAATATCGTGATTTCATAATTCTTCTGAAATCTCAAGTTTAAGAAACAGTAAGTCTGTGATTAAAATATAGTCACTCAAATCATGTTCTGGTGCTTCAGAAATTATAATCCAGTGAGCATATCGTGGTGGACAACAAAACACTCCAAGGAATTGCCTTCATTTACTCTAACATTTTGTACCTATTTTCTGAGATTTCCAGGTTGAGTTTTCATACAATGACAGAGGTTAGAAGGAATTTAACATTGCTACCCACATCCCTCATCTCTGACACCTCACTGACACCCTGGATATTGGGCAAGTTTCTACTGTTCCCTGTTTTTTCACAAGTTCAATAGGTATAAATTAAATAGATAAGTATAAGGTTGCTAGAATCATTTAAATGAGTACAAAATAAGTATAAATAACTATTCAGAGTAACTATATCTGATCTTGATCAAGTCTACACATATGATCAAGCTTTTTTAGCTCAGGTTTAACTTTGTAAGTTTTAATTACCATGTTTTATTCCAGAATGTCTTAAACCTAAGGGACAAATTCATGCATTGCTCTTTACCTCAAAGGTTAAAGGATAATTGAATCCTATCAACTCAAAGTATATTTTGGATCATTGTTTTAGTTTTAGTAATTGGCTGGAAAATCCCAGGAATGTAATATTTAAGCACCAGAGTAGGAAAACTTACTGAAGTTTTCAGCATTGGCTTGAATGTCACAGTTCATTAAAAAAAAAAAGAAGAAAAAATACTATTAGCGTTATCCAAACCAAAGAGGTTATGGTACAAGGAGAAGGTAATCTGAGGAACAGAAAATCAGCTTGCTGCTTAAAATCTTCAAGAAGGAGACATGTTTCCCCAGTTGGCTGCATAGTTGAGTAGCTGGGCATGTTATCCAGAGCCCTTTTCTGCACTCTCTGAGCTAAGGCGTGGTGGCGGAGATGGGGAAAGAAGCTCACTCAGCTTTAGATGTCGGCCCCCAACCTTACAGTAGCTTGAAAAGTAAGGCTTTCATGTGGAAAAACCTGACTTTGTCAAAATGCTCTTGGCTCTGGTGGGCCACAGCTCCGGTGGCTACTCCTCGGGTGGTTACAGAGGAGGAAGTCTCCCTGCAGCCAGACCTGGAGGCACTGACACAGCCAGAAGGACTCTGTACCCTGCCATCCAGAGCCTCCACTGGGGGGAAAAAAATCCCTGAAGATAACAGAATCCAAGAAAGGAAAGCAAGAATTTACACTCACTTCTCAGAAGACAGCCTTTTTGCTAAGGGACACCCACCAAGGATGTGGTTGTCACAGCTCCAACTGGGGTGAGCAGAGGCCTAAACTCTAAAGGGGAAGATACCGCCAATCTCAGAGAATGGACAGCAAAGTGGGGTCGTGGCATTCACGGGAGCCATCAGCTGGCCACCACTCAGGACTCCAGAGGCCAGGGATGACCTCCACAGTGCATTCCTCACACCTGGGGCAGACAGAAGCGTCACTGAAGAGGCAAAGAACCCAGCAGGGATTCTGAGCATGAAGCGATTCAGTATTCACTCAAGAAGGTTAACCCCAGTGGGGGCCAGCTGCTGGGTTTCCTGACTCCCCTAGGGCTCAGGAATGGGTGGGATTCAGGGCAGAGAGCGATGTTACATTCCTTATATTCGACCACCCCAGTGAGACAGGTGCTCAGAGTTTCTGGAAGGACATGTTCTTCCAGGAGGAAAAACCTTTATAAAAAGAAAAAGAATGCTTATAAAGAGGATCAAAGAAATGCCTAAACTGCCTGAGTTGTAATTACAACTCCCTGGAATGAGATCTACCGTTAACGCGGTGTCCGTAGTGCCCCTTTGTTCTCCTTTCTCCGCTGCCATGAATGACTAAGGGAAGAACATGGAGGGGAAGGACATATGCTTGGCTCCCTCGGGGGCCAGCATTTGGTGGTTTTCTGCCAGGCATCTCCAGGAAAGTCAGTAGTAGCTCATCAGAAAAGCCCAGTCTCTCCCCAAGGGAACCTTTTATCCAAGCCAGCTATCCTCCTTAAGATCCACTTGGGCCCAAGTCCGTGAGAGTGAGGGCTTACTGCAATTAATTAAATCATGGGTGTCATAGAAGCAGAGGAAGGAATTGTTGCTTTTCCTCAAGTCACAATTGGCTTATTGACAGGACAAAGCAGCAGACAACAAGGAATCTTGTTATCAAAACCCCAGACTCTGCGCATAGGCACACAGGAAAACCTGCATTCATCATGCATGTAATCTGTCCTCACAGAAAAATTACAGTTACAACACAACGAATCTGCCCTTCTCATTTTCACAAAGAAACAGAAATTTGTCTTCCATCTAACATTCCCTTCCTAACTTTGTCAGATTCAGCCTGAGCATCTGTCTTGAGCATCTGGCTGGGTTTCTTCCTCAAGGGGCTACAGCCAGAGTATATGCCACTGGTGGTGGCATCACTCCTTTACTGTCTCACCAGCAGGTTCACATTTCCAAAGTCAAAAAGAACCACAACCACAGGCACCACCCCAATCCTGAAAGTTCAGAAAGGACAGTAAAATCTCTGCTAAATACAATAACCAGGGCTGCCTTCCCTCCAAGCCCTTGGTCCTGGGTCAGCTCTCTGCAAAAACATGGGATACACACCAGTGCAATGCAACAGGCAACAGGTGGACACTCCAATCAGGCAGGGCACCCCCATCCCAAGAGAATGACTTGCTACACTTACCAGAATACACACCCCAGGTGCCACTAGGGTGCGCTGGGGTGGAGAAGCATGCCTTCCATGCAAAAGCTGAGACATGCCAAAGTTATTATGGTAGAACTTTTGCTATTACATACAGCTATGACCAGGGAGAAATACAAGGTGGAAAAGAGGATAAAAAGGGTTTCTGGTCTTTCCCAAGGTGCTAATAAATTCATCCCAACTAGACAGACCATCTCATTGCACATTTTAAATTGCTATTAGAAGAAATGTACCCAATGGTTAATTTTACAGACGAACACAACCTGGAGAGGTGGCCTTAGTAATCTACTGCTCCCACGAACTTTCCTCTCTCATGTCGAAACGTAGACATGTGGATTGGCAGGACTTTCAGGCCCCTGACGCAGACATGTTCAGCCTGAAGTCCTTTCCCTATGGCCCTTGAACCCTCACATTCTTGGTAACTCATTCCCAAACTGAAGGTGATCTTTGTCCATAGCCATAGTCTACAGTTGCACAGCCATTTCTAAACAAAATTCAAGGTGGGGTGGGAGGGTGGGATTTGTCACAACAGTGAAGATGCTGCTGAGGCATCCACATCCCTGGCCAGAGTGCCTGGTCTGAGTCCTGGATCCTCTGCTTCCAATCCAGCTTCCTGCTAATGTGTACCCCTGACTCAGGTAGCTGGGTCCCCCACACTCATGCAAAAGACCTAAATTGAGTTCCAGGCTCCTGGTTTCAGCTCAGCCCAGCCCTTGCTATTGCAGGCATTTGGGGAGTAAACCAGCAGTCTAGAAGTTCTGTGTCTCTCTGCCTTTCAAATGCAATGAACAGAAAACTTTTAGAAAATTAGAGTCATGTGGGGGAAAAAAATGCCCCAAGCCATAGCCAAAGGTGACAAATAACAATAGTGAGACAAGAAATCTCTTGCTACCTAATGATGCCCAATTCCAATACAACAAAAAATATGCACCTTGAAACTCTAATTTTATTAATTTAAAAAATAATTATTTTCATTTAATTTAAATGCAGAGGGAGACAGATCTTTTACTCATTGGTTCATTCTCCAAATGCCCATAACAGTTGGGACTGAGTTAGGAGCCCAGAACCAATCTAGGTTTTCCTGGTCAGTGGGAGGGACCAAAGCACTTGAGCTATCCCCTGCAGCCTCCCAGATGTACCTTAACAGATAGCTGTATAAGAAGTGAGACTTTCAGTGTGGCATGTATGTGTCCCCAGTGCACTAAAGACTCACTCCAAAGTTACAATTTTCTTTTCCAATTTTAAATACGCTCTCTTCTACTAGACTTTGAAATTAATTCTTGTCCTACCAGACTAGATGTTATGGTTCCACATGGTCCAAGGTCCTGTCTACACACATACTTGCCAATTCAGTCCCCAAGTGAACCTTCTCTGGCCCCCAAAGTTAATCTCCACTCCTGCCATCAGCAGATTCTTGGGCACTTCATTCGGGATTTTGCCTCCCAGGAATGTTGTTGATCTTGCACAAGCTGTTCTCACTTCATCTTCAAATCTTCAAAAATGCCTATCTCTACCAGCACCAGAATTCTCTACCTTCTCCGAGGAAGGAAAAGGGTACCATATCTGTAAACTGGAGCTAGAGAGGCCTTGCCTTCCAACTCCTAAGCCCTTCTGAACATGAGCATTTCAGTCCCAATGAGCCATATTACGGTCACTGAGTCTCCAAGCAGGGTATCTGTCCAGCATCCTGAAACCCTATGTAGTCACCCATCAGGAATGCCGGTCTGAATCCTCATGAGAATCTCTTGTCAAGAAAAGGCCAGCCAGGGCACCACTTCCTTGGTCTTTTTATCTTGAACCAATTTGGCCCCAGTTGTAAATGCAACCTTCTAATTAAATCTATAAAAGTGATCATGAAAAACTGTTCAGTTCATATGCAAATAAAGATTCAGAGTTAAATCTGTTAACAGGAGAAACTAGCCAAAAAGATGGCTACACAGCAAGGATTTCAAGGACATTACTTCACCTTTGCCTTCCTAATTCATTCTGTCTTAAGGCCATTAGTTGTGTTACAGCAAACAGGAGGAGACATGGTAACTAAAAAGAAATTTCAAGACCCAAGCCAGGCAAGTTGGTACCCATCCACAAGGAGATATCCACGCCTGGAGTGAGGGAAGCTTGAGTGGAATACTGGAGCCAGCAGGGTTCTCAGGGGGCGTGGGGTGTGGCAAATAAAGCCCACAAGTAGCAAGAGCAACTATGCAGGGAGGTGGTAGCAGCTGAGATGGAGAAGGGTTAGACACAGGGAGCATCCTGGGATCAATGGTCAACTGCAGGGCTCAGGTGGAAAACACAAAATGAGCTTGGAGCAACTCCTGCCAGAAGGCCAGTGATCAGACACTGAGGAGGGCACACCAAACCGAAAAGCAACTGGCACAAAAGGGCATTCACTGGCCACAACGAGAACAATCTGAGTAATAAAATCAATAAAGATGTTACCATGAAGATGTATTTCTGCCCACCAAAGTGAACAGAAAATCATGCATACATACCAACATAAGAAAGGAAAAATGGGCTTCCACTCAGCAATCAAAAAACAAATATAGAGGATTAACACAAACTTATACTCTCAGGGGGAAAAAGCCAATCTAAACTTACACATGCTAAGATCCCATTGCTGTAAATAAATTCCATTTCCAAAATAAATTGAAGAGGCACAGAAGTGATTAGTGGTTGTCTGGGGTGAGGCAGTGAAGCAGGAGGGGCAGGTAGGTGGTGGGTATGACACCAAGGGACAGCACCAAGATCTTCATGGTGATGGTTTTGTCTTACATGCACTGCTCATTCCACGAATCTACACACAGGAGACACCCACATCTATTTCCTAGTTAATGCAAAATACAGCTATGGGGGGGGTAACTGAGTTAAGGGTACCATTTTGCAGCTTCCTGTGAATCTATAATTACTTCAAATGAAAAGTCCAATAAAAATAGAATGTTTGATGACTAATGGGATATTTAGATAGCTTCAATGAACCTCCTCAAAAAACACGTAATAATTACAAAAGAAAAAGGCTAAAGTGGAGAAGCTTGGTTGTCACCAATTCGACAAATGATCAAAGTGAATATCATTAGCAACAGACTAAAATCTACCCCACCTAAAAGGCTGCAATGAGAAGAAAATGGCATCACTTCTGTGATCCCAGTCCAAAATGCAGATCTTGAATCTAATCTGCAGGAAAAACACAAATACAGAGAAAGAAGCATTGGACAAAACAGTGATTCTGGAATCTTCAAAAGTGTCCAGTCCTTAAAGTCACAGAATGCCAGGAGATGTTCCAGACTAAAAAAAAAAAATCAAGTGTAGTTCATGACTCTGAGCTGAGTCCCTTTGGCAGGGAGGATATTACTGAGACGCCATTGGAGACCAGCAAGGGATCCCGGGACTACAAAGCTGGGATGCAACGTTAACTTCCTGATTTTGCAGCTGCAGCAGAAATGTCCCCATTTGTGTGAAATACACACAGAAGTAACTATGGGTGAGGGGGCTTCAGATTGGTAAATTCCACTCAAACAGGTCAGGAAAAAAGTTTTTTGTACTGCACTGCAACCTTTCTACAAGCTGACTGTGGTTACCGATTAATGTTATTATTTTTAAATAAGTAATTTGAATTTGAATGGGAAGGGATAAGGAATCTTTGTCAATACTGATGAAATCGTAGAATGTGCATAAAAAGGCATTCTTCACCATCAGGCTTTGGCACTCATGCTTAACAGAGCTGCATACACAGAAAGATCTCAAATATGTGACTCAGTCTTTGTTCATTCTAAGGATTAGCACTCTTCTTCCAATTGACAACACACTTGCTTACAAAACACTAAAAGTGTCTTGCACCCATTCTTGGAAATAATCCCAGGAAGAATTTTGCTGTTCTTCACTAGGAAATATGTAGTGTAAGTGGTCATCACTAGGCTGTGCATCCTTGGAAAACAAGGACTTGTAGTACGCACTTGCCACTGGTGTTGCTAGGCACCAGCTTGCTCACTACTGCCTGGGCACCTGTCTAATCCCAAGCCCACCAGAACTGGCAGAAAGACCCACCTACATTAAGTCATCATGACAAGGACATGATGTGGGGGGGGAGCAGCATTATGACCACAGGTGTTAAGCAACTACCAATGGTGCAGGCATCCAATTTGAGCACCAGTTCAACTTCCAGCTGCATCACCTCTCATCTTGCTCCCTGTTAATGCTGTTGGAATGCAGTGGAACATGGCCCAAGTACATAGCCCCTGTCACCTGCATGGGAAAGTAGAATGAAGCTCCTGGCTCTTGTCTTCAGCCTGACCCACCTCTTGTAGCCATTTAGGGAGCAAATGAGTGGATGGAAGACCTTCTCTCTCTGTCTCTACATCTGACTCTCTTGAAATAAGAAAAAGAAGGAAAAAAGAAAAAAATGACATGATGGGGGCCAACGTGCAGGTTAAGTTACTGCTTGTGAGGCCAGCATCCCATATCAGGATGCCAGGTGGAGTCCTAACTGCTTTGTTTCCAGTCCAGGTTCCTGCTATGGTACCTGGGAAATCAGATGCTGATGGCCCAATTATTTGGACCTTCATCACACACATGAGAGGACAGGATGGAGTTCTTGGCTTTAGTCTGGCCTGGCTAGGCCCGTTGTGGCCATTTGGAGAGTGAAACAGATACTGTCTGGTGTGTGTGTGTGTGTGTGTGTCCCTCCTTCCATCTCTGTTCCTTGTTCTTAAAAGTTAAAAAATAAACAAGCATCCAGATTCAAGGTCCAACTCCAATGATACATTCCTCCTTTCTTTGTTCCCATGTCAGCCCATGTTGGAGCAATAGAAATTCTGTTCCCTAAGGGCTGCCCAGCAGGGAAAGGTTCCTCTCTCAGGTGGCCAGAATATGAAAACCTAGACTGAGCACACCCAAAAGGAATCTGTGAACACTAATCAAATCATGGGAGCCAAGACAGGCCAGTCAGCAGGACACCTGGAAGACCTCAAGTCTGAACAAATCCCTGGCAAGAATCAAGGGAGAAAACCCAAACACTTCCTGCAACAGAGCTTGGGATGATGGCGGCTCACTGATGCTCACCAGTCAACAGTGATCGTTCATAGTAGGTCAAGCAGATCTGATAAAATCTGTCCACATGAACACTGACATATGAGGAATTGCATTAGGCACTTTGCTGACATGTCATTTGAATCTCATAGTTATCTTATGTATAAGATAAAGGGTCATATTTTATATCAGTTTCAGTAGCTCTAAGTCACTATGGCTAACAAGTGATGAGTCCAGGTTTTGAATCTCTCCTACGTTCAGCTGCTCTTCTAATCAACCATCATTTTACTTCAGAGCCCCATCTCACCATCTCTTTATCACATCAAGAAACTTACTTGTTACAGTACACTTGGTTCTGTTTCCTACAAGTCCTTTTTTAAGATTTATTTTTATTGGAGAAACAGATTTACAGAGAGAAGGAAAGACATAGAAAAAGGTCTTTTGCCCACTCGTTCACTCCCCAACTGGCCACAATGGCTACAGCTGAGCCAATCTGGGCACAGGGTCCCAAGACTTTGGTTCCTCCTCTACTGCTTTTTCAGGCTACAAGCAGGGAGTCGGTTGGGATGTGGAGCAGTCGGAACATGAACTGGCATCCAAAGGGGATGCCAGCCCTTGAAGGTGGAGGATTAGCCTTTTGGGCCACAGTACTGCCCCCCACCCAAGCCTCATTTCAATAGCCTTCATGTTACAAGTGGGATTAGAGCAAGTGGCCTCCTCATTCGCACAGCAGGGATTTTTAGATTTGGAAAAGCATGCTGCTACTTCAGCTGCTTCTTCAATTTGGCCAAGTAATAAGAGCTGTCATGCTAAACTCCTTTGCCATTACTTAGAAAATGCTGCCTTGACACTAAAACAACACAAAGCAAAACAAAACCGCATCACCATGAAGCTTTACATATGGCAAGCTACTTTTTCCCTGGAGACCAGGGGGCCTAGCAAGCCTTTTAAAACGTGTTAAACAGGGAAATTACAAAAAGCACCTTTGGCCTGTATTGGGTTTTTCTGGAGTAATATTGCCACCCCTGAGCTGCTAGCTGCCCACACATTTATATAAGTCTACAAGAATCTCCCAAACTCCAACTCTCTATCCTGATGTTTTCAAAAAATGCTGTTGTTTTAATCATGTCTCATGCTGGAAAATGCCACACACTTCAAAGCAAACATTTGAGCTTTGGACAGCTACACAGCTACTTAAGAAGGAATACTTTACCAGACTCCCAGTCGATGAGATCACTCCAGTCGCGGATGCCATGCTCTGGTGACAAGCACACACTGGCTCACCACTGCCACCATCTGCCCAAGGCCCTTCCTCGTTCTTCAAGCTGATGACAGCACAGCTGGGATGCTGGGCAACGTTCCTCGAGAGCTCTCTAGCCAAGCACATGTGTGGCTCTGAAGGATTTTTGCTATAGTTCTGCTCATCTGAGTCTTGCTTCTAGAAACCATATTCAGTTGTAAAGTGGTATAATAACACAAGTCTTAAATATTTAAATCAATATATTTCAAAGTTCTAAGTGAGGCGTTTTCAGGTAACTGACAAGGGTGATGTTGAAGTTATGGTATGGGGGAGGGATGAAATGTTGCTCAGTAAACTGATAACATATTTATTCTTGTCTGGTCTTAAACAAGATTGTGCAAAGGGCACATGGGTTAGAAATAGTACGGCATGAAATAACCAGTATATTGTAATTAATGCAATATACCACAAAGTGCTTCTGTTACACAATTAGCATGCAAAGAAAAACTAACAGGACCACCTGCACATGTGCCAATACTCTGACCATGCCCAGCCATTCAACTTGGCCAAAAGGACAATTCTTTCCTGCCATTGCAGAATGCGTCTGCCTGGCAGGCACCTGAGCAGGACCTAGCAGACATGAGCAGAATTCAAAGCCATACAACTGGCCATTTCTACCCTAAGCTTCTATACTGTTTCTCTCAAGCATCTCTCCTCCTGTTCTATCCCTAAACATGTTTACATTGTTACTCAGAAGGGACCCTCATGGAACCTAAATGCTTTGTTCCTCACATTCTTCTGATTCTTCTCTCCACCCTCAGGTAGAATGGTCTTGAAATTTGACACTTTCCATTGCCTGGACTCCAGATATGGGCCCATAATGTAACCTCCACCTCCAATGAGATGGCCTGAGGTCAGTCCTTTTCCTACCCCACTATTGGACCTGATTGCCTTCCCTGTCTGTGGTTTCCTCTTGTTCCTCCCTCAGTTTTTCAAGATTCCCTCCTCAACTGTGGCATCCCTGTGGCATCACTCAGGGTTCATTGTCAGTGCCGTTCCCCTTTCCATCTCCCCCCACTGACTGGTTTATTTCTCAGGCCCTCACTCTTTGCCTCTCCATGGTGCAGGCCCATACAAACAGCCCATGCCCCTCACTGCCTGGTGGACACCTGTGAGCCATCCTACCCCCAGAACAGTGGTGACATCAGAGTGCTTCATGGTTCATAAAGCAGGTTCACTGTGCTGCCCCATGAGTGATGACAAAACCCATCACTCCTGTGCCTGCTCCGATGTGTATTCCACTGAAGGCCCCAACAAGGCCTGTTTATGGGAGCCTCTTGTCATGTTCCAGCTCTCAAGGTCCCAGCAGTTGGAAGCCTGGTTCCATACAGGGACACCAGGGAGCCAGTTGGGTGCCCAGGAACCCCACAGTTCATGCAGATCTGGGTTCCAATCCCAACCCCTCACCATGAGGCCTTCTTTCTTTGTAAAACAGTGATCATACATGGCTCAGAGGATCTCTGTAACTGTTAACTGGAAAGACTATGTAAGCTGCTTGGCACAGGGCCTGCCCTATAGGGATGGCTTATTCAGGGGCTCTCAGCATTCTAAATTCTCAAAGCCTTTACCTCTGGGTTGTTGGCTCCTTCCAAAACATCACTGAGAATCTGTATGTACTCAGTCGCACCTTTCAGAATATCAACTTTGCTAGGCTTCCTGCTTTGGGGAAGAAATGGCACAAGTGCCTTCAGTTTGGCAAAACCACGGTTGAGGTTTTTTATCTAGAAAACAAAAAGGCACAGAGACACACAGAGAGGCTACTTGTACAGACATCCCCAAACCACACTGAGGGGTTGTCAGGGGTCAACTCCACAGCCCTCCCAGGGTGCCAGTGGGTGGAATCTACGCAGGCACAGGCCAAAGAGTCACCACTCCCCAGGGGAAAAGGAACAGCACAAACAGCCCTGCAGGTGAATGGGCAGGCAGGTGAGTCTACGTCTAGGCTGGCTCCCTTCCTTGCTAGGTCTCAGAACATTCCAGCCATGTAACAACACAGCCACAGCAGTGCTGGCTCAAGAGTCAACTGCACAGGATTTAAAACTTGGCTCCTCCATTGATTATTGGCTCATATCCCTAAGCCTCAGTGTGCCCATTCACAAAGTGGAGAACACAAACCTGGCATTTTCCAGGGATCTAGGCGACATGAAACACACAGAGAATGCCACCCCAGACCTGACACACAGAAAGTCCTAAATGGCATCATTGCTGGTGAATAAACATTCAAATCCTTGTCTACCTGAGTGCTGTTCCAGCTGCTCTTCAACCTCCTTCCTGATGAGTTCATGAGACTTCAGAGACTCTCCACTTTTCTTCTATTTTCCTTGGTCTCACACATTGGCTCTGAAGACCATGAGCTCTCATGCTCACCCCCCTCCCCCGAGGACACAGACCCTGAGAGAACTGGCACCCCAACATACATAATTATCCTGACAGCCTCTCCCAGCCTGGAGTAAAGTGGGCAAAGGGCAGAGTTAGCTGATTCATGGAAAGATATAATGAGCAAAAAACACAAAGATTTCACATGACTCATTAAGGAGCCACAAACTAAACTAAGGGGCTGGACAGAGGGCTCTAGGACAGCTGAACAGAGGAGCCCAGTGCTCAACCCCCGCCCCCCCACATAGAGAAGAGCCAGAACAGCAGATGGTCCGGGTCCTAGCTGTTCCACTTCCCATCCAGCCCCCTACTAACGTGCCTGAGAGGCAGCACAAGATGACCCGCGTACTGGGGTTGTGCTTGGCTCAGCAGCAGCTGCTGGAACCATCTCAGGAGTGAACCAGAGAATAGGAGCTCACTCTCGCACTCTGTTCCACACCTCTCTTTCTCCAACTCTGCCTTTCAAATAAATAAAGAAATAAATTTTGAAAAAGGGCCACTACACTGGAAAATACACAAACCTCAGTATACAAAACCACCAACCACCCCCCAACACACACACACACACAATATTAAGAGTGATAGAAAGGAACAAAGACTGTACAAAACAATCAGAAGATAATTTTTAAAATGGCAGGGATCCATTCTTATAATAATACCCTGACATAAATGGATTAAATCTCCCAGTCAAGATAGAGAGCAGTTGGATAGATTAAAAGCAACAAGAAGATCCCATTATGTGCTGCCAAGGAGAAAATTCAATCCACCAAGACAGACATAAACTAAAGATGCTCCCTGCAGAGGAAACAAACTAGAACAGCCACACTTACCTGAGGTTAAAACAGGCACTAAATCAAAACCCAAAAAGACCCAAAAAGGGCCATTACATTAGAATACCTCAAATCAAGATAATTTTATTTCTAAAAGCTTAATGTGCATAATCTTTCACATGGCACATTTTCCAGGAGATGTTTTTTTGGAGATGTTTCACATAATGATAAAGGGATTCCTCAGCAGGAGGAAAAAAGACTACCGGCGCATATGCCCAATGCTGGAGCACCTTGTTACATAAAACAAACATCATTAGACTTAAAAGGAAGGGATAGATTTCAATATATATACAAAACTTGGGGACTACAACACTCTGCTTTCCTCAATGGACAGGTCTGAAAACGGGGAAATTAACAAGGGAACAGCAAATTTAAGCTGTACAGCAAACTAGTTGGACCTAATAGATAGTTTTAGAACATTTCATCCAACTGAAGGATTCACATTTCCATCAGAAGGCCCTCTGAGACTGACCAGAAATTAGGCCTCAAAAATCAATCTCAAAAATTTAGAAAAATCAAAATCACATCTTGTATCTTTGTGATCACATTGAGATAGAACTGGAGCTCAATAAGGGAAACTTTAGAAATTGTACAAATACATGGAAACTCTAACAATGTACTCTTAAATTACCAATGGGTCAATAAGGAAATCAAAAAGAGCCAAAAGTCATTTAAATTTTTAAAAATTCTTTAAACAAATGAAAATGGAAACATTACAAAGCTGTAGGATACAGCAAGAACACTTTAATTTTACACTTATGAACATCTAAATCAAAAAGAGAAAGATTTCTAATGAATGACCTGACTGCTCAAGCAACTATAAAACTGATAGCAAATCAAACCTGAAATTAGAAAATGAAAGATTGGAACAGAAATGAAACATAGAACAAAAAAAAAAAAAAGGAAAGAAAAAAATAGCAATAAATAAATAACAGTTGATTTTCTTAAAAACATAAACACAACCCGGCCAGACTAATCAAGAGAACAGAAGATACAAATCAATAAATTCAAAATTGCAAAATGAGATATTACAACTATTGTTACAGAAATAAAGACTCCTAGGGGCTATTATGAACAATGTGTAGACAAATTAGAAATCTAAAAGGACAGATTAATTTTTGAACATGGAAAACTTACCCAATGGTGCCATGAAAACAGAAAACCTGGGGGGCCTAGCGTGTATGCCTAATGGTTAAATCCTCACCTTGCATCCACCAGGATCCTATATAAAGCACTGGTTAACATCCCAGCTGTACCACTTCCCATCCAACCCCCTGCCTGTGGCGTGGGACAACAGCAAGGACGGACCAAAGCTTTGGGACCCTGCACCCATGTAGGAGACCTGAAAAAAGCTCCAGGCTCCTGGCTTCAAATTGGCTCAGCTCCAGCTGTTATAGCCACTTGGGGAGTGAACCAGCAGAAGAGAGATCTTCCTCTCTATCTCTCCTTCTCTATATATATCTATCTTTCCAATAAGAAATAAATTAAAAAAGGAAAGAAAAGCTAATAATAATTTTAAAAAACTAACAAAATCAAACAAGGAAAGTTCAGGTCCTCATGGCTGAATCCCATCAAACATTTAAAGAAAACCAATGCTTTAATACATCACATTAACAAATAGAAGGATAAAACCCTTGTAACCATCTCAACAGATACAGGAAAAAACGGAAAAAATTCAATGTCCTTTTATGTTTTAAAAAAATCACATAAATTAGGTATTGAGGGAACATGCTTCAACACAATAAAGGTTTTATAAGATAAGCCCACAGCCTTCACCGTGATAATCAAGAGAAACAAGAAAACACTTCTTCCAAAACAAGATGAAGATATCCACTTTTACTCCTACTAATCATAAAACTGAAATACTTGGCCAGAGCATTGAAACAATAAAGTGCATATCAATAAGAAATGAGGATAAATTAACCCTGTTTGCAAGTGACATGATCTTCAATGCATAAAATCCTAAAAAACTCCACACAGAAAAACTATTAAACGATCCAGTAAATTTCCAAATGTAAATGTCAACATTTTAAAACAGTTGTATTTTTACCAATAAATAAACATTTTTTCTAAAATAAAAAATAAAGCAATCTCACTAGCAATAATCCAGAAAAAAAAAGATGTAATACATTTATCAAGAAGGCAAAAGATCTCTACAGTGAAAGTCATTTTCAAAAAATTAGAGGAAATAAAAATAAAAAACATTTTACTATTACAGATTAGAACATGGTTAAAATGTACATACTACTGAAAGTGGTCTGCAGATTTAATCAAATACCATCAAAATACCAATGATATTCTTCACAGAATCAGAAAATCACAAAATCCATCTGGAACCAAAGAAAAAGGAACAATGCTGGTAGCATCACAATACCTGACTTTGAAACACATTACAAAGCTTTAGGAACCAGAAGAGTATGGAACCTCCATAAAAACAGACACATAAACCAATGGAGTAGAATACAAGCATCAGGAAATGAAAATTAATTCATGGATTCACATGACCAAATTGCCAAAAGTACAAATTGGAGGATAATAGTCTCCTCAACAAATGGTACGGGGGCATGGAGAAGGGTTGCTCACTTGTGGTATACCAGGTTAAATCTCTGCATGGGATGCTGACATCCCATCTCAGAGTACTAGTAACAATCCAGGCTACTCGGCTTCAAAGCCAGCTTCATGCTAATGCGCCTGGGAAGCACCAGAGAATAGCACCGGTATCTCCTGCCATCCACATGAAAGACCTGGATGAAGCTCCTGGGTTCAGCCTGGCCTTGAGCTGGCTGTTGGGGCTACATAGGGAGTGAAGCGGTGGTAAAAGCTCCCTCTCTTTCATGAAATTACTTCAAGCTAAGACCCTTCTGCACAGCAAAAAACAATCAACAAAGAAGTAATAATTAGGAGAAAATATTGGCAAGCTAGGCATCTGATTAAAGATCAACATCCAGAATACATAAGGAGCTCAAGAAACTGAACAAGTCAGTTAATAAATAGGCAAGGGGTCAGCACTGTGGTCCAGCAGGTTAAGCTGCCACCTGTGGTGTCTATATCCCATTTGAGCACTGGTTTGAGCCCCAGATGCTCCACTTTCAATCCAGCTCCCTGCTAATGTATCTGGGAAGGCAACAGAAGGTTGTCCAAGTACTTGGGCTCCTGCCATCCACATGGAATACCTGTCTGAAATTTCAGGCTCCTGGTTTCAGTCCAGCCCAGTGCTGGCCGTTGCAGTCATTTGGGAGTTGAACCAGCAGATAAAAGATCAATCAATCCGAAGTCACCTTGAGCCCACATGCTTCTCAGGAGCCACAGGTAACTTCGGGGGTCTGCTGGGGTCTTTCTGCCCGCACCCAGCTTGAGGTACCAGCAGGGGTGGCTCTGGGAGCTTGGGAGTTGAAGATTTGCAGGAAGATTGGGGGATTGCACAGGTGAGGTAGAGCACTGACCTGTGGATGCATGCCCAGGTTAAGAATTACTGCTGAGAGGCATCCTTGGAAAAAACATAGGTAAGGAATGAC